AGTCGAAAGTTACATTGCAACACCAAGTAGCCTTGGTCGAGTCGAAAATTACACTGCCACACCAAGTAGCATTCATGAAGCCACCGATCTTTTTCAATTACACCAAAATATTTGAGTAATTTGTGTTGATCTAACGATTAAAAAAAAATGATTGCACTAGTCATAATAATAATACCGATCCCAATCTTGATCCTTAAAAATACGCACGGTTTGCAAATTAGTCCTCTAACTATACTAAAATACCAAATGCCTCCCCCCAAAAATTTCCAGGAGCGCACACATTGGGCTTCTCCCACTGCAGCCGGTTCTCAAATCGAATCTACCCGGCCAGCAGGACCGACCCGACCCTGAACCCGCAGTACGCCGCGCAGCTGCGGCAGATGTGCCCGGTCAACGTCGACCCGCGGGTCGCGATCAACATGGACCCGACCACCCCAAACACCTTCGACAACGCCTACTTCCGGAATCTCCAGGCGGGTCGAGGCCTCTTCAGCTCCGACGAGGTGCTCTTCACGGACAACCGGACCCGGGCCACCGTCAACGCCTTCGCCGCCAGCAACGGGGCGTTTTTCGGGGCGTTCGCCCAGGCCATGACCCGGATGGGTCGGGTCGGGGTGCTCACCGGGACCCAGGGCGAGATTAGGATCGATTGCACCCGGCCCAATTGATTGATTAAATGCGTGTTTCGTTTTATCGATAATTGTTTGATTTATATTTTATTTTCAGTTTTCTTTCAATTTTTTACTTTTTTGGGGGGTATGGTGGTGATGGGTTTTGTGAAGAATGTAAAAACAATTGTATAATTTAAAAATTTATCGTGGCAAGTGGTATTGTAGATATAAATAGGGGAGATTTTACGGTCCTGTTACAAAATCGTTCCGTCATGATTTATAATTGTTAGATGAACTATCCACGATGGTTACATGATGATCTAACGGTAACAAATTCCGACAGAATAGTTCCGTAACGGGACTGTAACATTTTTCTATAAATTATAATAATCTGTTATTTGACTTATTTTAATTATAATCGATTCATGGATCATCAAAAGTGGATCAAACATTGGATTTTCTCAGGGCTTTGAGCTTAAATTTTTGTGATGTTAATTTGGAAGCCAAATGACTTGGTTATAATTGAGCTTTAGGATTTGATTTCATTTGATAGATTTGACTTGAATTAACATTGCTTTAATTAACCAAGGACGTGAATTCTTGGTTATAGCCATAAATCGATCTTCCGTCTCTTCTTAACGTAATTCGGTAGTTCGAAGACTTTATTCTAACTTACACGTCAATTAAAACCGATGGTTGAATCTTTATCGCTTGAATCTTGTTTGAGAGAATTCTTCGTTTGAATTTGAGACATAAAAGAATATACCAAAAATAATTTGTGAATGAATTGATCAATGCCATTGATCCTTCAAGATTTGAAATAACATTATTCTTTCATACTAAGCAAAAAAATAATAATAATAAAAAATACATATTTATTTATTAATTAAAATTATATTTATCTTGAACTCATAGTTTTTAACAATAAATAAAAACACATCTGGAGTTCTGATATCAATTAATCAATTTCATATGAAATGCAGATTAAAAATTCACAAGTCTGAGGTTAAATAAAGAGTAAAGACAACAACAATGGTAACAAAGGTGAAAGGAAAAATTACATTATCTGAACAACAAAAAAAATTGTCCAAACTCATGCCAATCTAGCCACATATGCTAATTAAACACATGTCAGAGAGTTTATACAAGAATTAGATAACATCTACAAAAGCACTGTTTTTTCACCTTCAAATTTAAGTGAGTTTGCTAAAAGAAACTGACCTTCTGAGTAGAGGTTGTTATGTTAACCAAAAGCACCTGGTAACTTTTGCTATGGTCAAGTATAAAAATCTTGTCAGGCAGAGAGGACAGAACCTAATGTCTAAAAACCTCGGATTTTCGTACACACGATCATGTCCCGTTCGAGCTTAAATCCCGAATAAGCCAATGTGGCCGCGGCGTATTGTTTTCTTGATAAACCGTGCTACTCGAGCTGCTATTATTGTTCATCGATAATCCCGGTTCTAAGAAATACTCGTCTAAATTGTTCCTTCTCGAACAAGAACCCGATTCTTGAACATTTTTCGAGCATCTTTTCTTCTTGCATTGCCCGATTCCTAGTGTTAGTTCGACCTCCACGTCATTTGCCTCGTGTACTATTGCTTTTTGAAGCTCGATTTTACACGGATTGTTTCTTGCCGTTAAAATTTGGAATTCGTGTCCTGTCTCTGTTGGTGCTGCTCGTGTTTGGTGCCAGCTGGTGGAGACTGCGGGATTATTGCTCGAGTCGGGCTGTAAAGATTTCGCCTTGCGATTTATAATGAGTACATTCCTTTCGAGATCTTGCATTAGTTTCTTTTGAAGATTGTAAAGCCGGTGAAGCTCCTGAACCTGAAAAAAAAAAAACGTTCGATGAAACTTGCTAAAATTCTTATTTTTTTTCAAGAAAAAAGGGTGAATTTGTGGTATAAGTTCTCTCTAATTCGAAAATGGTCAGACAATCACACTCAAACCAATGTATAGCTATATACATATTTTTATACTCAAATGTCGTACTTTACTGTACATACTCGAACATAGTTTGGGCTGTTCGTTACGAATTTGTGAAAAGGACAATGTTTTTTTTTTAACATATGCCGAAAAATTTTCGAACTAGAGATTGAAGATCAATGATCATGATGAAGTTAAATTACTCCTTTTTTCTTGAATTCCCCTGTCTCAAAGTTCACTTTATGATATCTGATCAAGAAAACTTGGAGAAAAGAGTTCACATAATTGCATATGTTACACTTTTTAAGTACTGAAAACATTCTTCAAAATCACATGTATGATGTACCTACTGTTCTCTTTTGTCTAATGTTAAAAAAACAAAAACAAAAA